TATTCATAGCTGCTCGGTGCCACATGGCAAGATATATTGTTTTAAACTTTCTTTTCAATATTAGTTGTATGGTTACTATAGGCAAGCTAGTATTTAACTCATTGTATCAACATATGAGAGATGTTGTTTCTTTTATGATGTATACCTTGTTATATACAAATAAAATAAAAAAATGATGTTTACTTACTTTAAAAAAAAAAAAAAAAAAAATTCTGTTACTAATTTTAAATTATTTAATTTGCTAATCCAATTGTATTAAAGAATATTTATCTTATAAAAATTATTTGTAAAACAATTAAATATTCTAATATTTTTTATTTTAAATTATTGAAAAAATAATATACTCAAATAATTTAAAATTAAAAAAATTTTAAAACATATATTAATACTTAGTATATTACTTTAATATATCTTATCTTTAGCTTATATAGCTTATAATTATAGAAAGTGTTCATTATATATATATACTTTTTAATAAATGCTCTGAAAATTATAATCTTTTAATAGTTTTTTTTACTGATTTTCTAATTAATATTCCAAAATAACATTCAGTAGTTATATTGTCTTATAATTGCTTAAAATAGTTTATATATTCTTTTTAAAATATTATACTAAATAAAACAAGAGTTTCTATATCCATATCTTTATTATTATTTTTTTTCTTATCTTTTGATTAAATATTATTCTACTTAAAAGTTTAAAGAAACTTGAATTTTCTATAACAGGAAAGATATTATTAAGAAAAAGAATTGTATTTTTAATTTTTTTTTTTTCTATATCTCAAAATATACGGTTTAAAATTAAAATTTGTTATAGACTATATTATAACAAGCTCTTGTTTTCAAGTTAGATTTTATTAGACTTCAAGTTTTTTTCTTATTGTGTATCAAAATTTTTATTCTTTTGAAAATTTTTGTTTATCTCAATTTAATTTTAATAATTTAATTATATTAAATCCATTGAAAATTAATTTGTTAAAATTTGAATTGAATAACAATTACACATAAAAAAAATAAACAAGAGATATATATTGAAAATATATTTTCTAAATTATATAAAAACCTTAGATTTATTATAAGATATAACAATAACATATACAGTAGGTAAATAATCAACATTCTCTTCTATTATCCTATTGTTTTAATAATATCTAGAAAAAAAATTTTTAATAATTAAAAACTTATTAAAAAAGTGTTATATCTTATATAAGCTTTTTATATAGTACAAAATATAATCTAAAATTCAGATAATAAAATAATAGAAACACTTGAACTAATCTTTATAATCAAGATTCTTTTATACAAAAATTAAATCTAGAATAGATTTAAATAGTTTAAATTATCTATAGGACTAGAGCTTTAAAAAGTACTGAACTGGTATCAAAATAGTATTAAAATAGTATTGATCTATTTTTACTTTACAATAAATAAATAAATAAATAAAAATAAAATAAATAAATAAATAATAATAATAATAATAATAGTTATGACAACAAATAAAATTTCTTATATTCATTGTTTATATCAATAAAATTATATTTACAAGTTATATAAACTAAAAAAACAAAATAATAAATCTAATCAATAGTTTTTTTAAAAATATAAATTTTATTTTTTATAGATTTTATAGTCTATTTGATTTTGATTTGGTTTTAATCATTATTAATTATTATTTTTTATTTTTTAATCTTTTTTATGTTTTAAATTTCTTTTAAATAAAAAATAAATACGTAATTATTACATGACTTATATTTAGCATATTAACATTGTTTTAAAATTTCTTTTCAATATTAGCTATTTATAGAATTAATAAATAAGTTAGCATTTAATTTATTATATTATATATGTAAAAAATATTGTTTCTTTTTTAATATATGTTTTATAATATATAAAATAAATAAAGAAATAATATTTTCTATTTAAAAAATAATAAAATAAAAATTTAATTATTTTTTTATAGTTAATAAAAATAGTTAAAGCATTTCTTATTCTCAAATATAATTTTATTACTATTAGTATTATATAATAAAAAAAGTTTTAATCTTTAAATAACATATATATATTATTATATTATATTATTAATTAGTTATTGAATTATAAGCTAAATAAGAGTTTGGACCTGTGGATCAATAGTATAGTGGTTAACACTCCACAGGTCAAATCACAAGATACCAGTTCAATTACATATGAAAGTGATTGAATAGAATTAATATAGTATCTGGTACCATAATCTATAAAAAGTGCTGTTTCTTATGAAAAGCCATTTTACATGCTAATCTAGTAGATGTTGGGATTGTGATTTTCAAAAAAGATGTCGTGGCGTGACAATAGTCCGGTTGGTGTTGCGATAATCACCAGAAATTACAAGGTATATGAGGTGTCCGCTTTCAGTAAGTTGGCTTGATGATTGTTTCCCTGTGATACCTGGTGTCTTTTCCTGCAAGTTTTCAGAAAGGTCTTATTCCAATCCAATAATAAATCACTCTGACAGTTACTTATTCTGGAAAGGCAACCAAAACAGCAGTAAATACCAATAGCTAAAATAATCTATAAGCAATAAGTCTATGAGATAAGTTTCTTAAATGTTCTTGGGTAGCTCTAGAAAGGTGGAAATTAAATGATATACCTAGCTGCAGGTGGTTGAGTTTAAAAAGATTTTTTTTGCAAGGGTTCTATTCATCTAATAGGTACTATACATGTTTCCTTATTACTATAAAAGAAAATTTGATTGATAATATGATTCCAAATTACTTATTAATTATTACTTAATAATATGAACATAATATGGTTTTTGGAAAATATCTAAATTAAATACAAATACATATATAATAGGTACTACTCCCAGTTCTCCTCTTCACACTTCTCCTTAATACATCCCCAGTTAGAAATATAACCTTTCATATAATAATGGCATTGATGGAGCTTTAGCACATTAGCCTTGACATATGTAAATCTCTGGGTTTATAGTCAATAGTAACAAGTTGACATGGGATAAAATCCGATATAATCTAATGATTCTCTAGAATAACTCATAAGTAGCTTTATTCTGTAATACATGATGTAAAGCATATGTGAATTAAATAAATGGACACATAGGCATGGCCTAGCTAGCCAAATTTTTTTAAAAAAAATAAGAGTTCAAAAACTTTTTTATACACTATAATTGATTTTTTTGTTCTTATTATAACTTGTTAACATACTATATATCTTATTTGAAATATATTTATTACAAATATTAGCAAATTTTTATTAAATATAAATGATGTTTTTCTAATGGTCATTTTTTAATTGTCGAACCAATTAACCAATTGATTACTATGTTTATTAATAATACGAATCAATAATGTATAATCGCATACATGAGTCACGTAATCAGTGTTACGATTCTACCCGGGAAATCAATCGGCACTTTTAATTTCTATAAAACCGACGTTTCCAATTATAGTAGATAATAAATCAATTATCAGTTAAACTTTGGATTTTGGGTCACTTTTAATTAGAACTGATTCGAGTCTAACTAGAACCGGAATCGAATTGAATCAAGCTGAATAGTAGATTCTGGTTTTAAACCAAAAAGCTCTGATTCTTATTACATAAGAAATATAGATGTTAGATCGACAATTTACTATCACGTGATATATCACAGTACGGTATTCTCCTTTTGATAAATCATAAATGAATAATGAAGATTAGTAATAAATTGGTGATTATCATTCATCTTTTTTTTCTGGAAAATGTACAATGACAAATCGAAATATTGAAACAAAGTATAAATGCGTATCAAAAAATGACCTGACTTCTTTTCTTCTTCGAATCCATTAGATCACGTGTTATTAATCGGAGAATATTTTCTGACTCTACAATGGGCTGCCATTCACCCGAAGAGACGGTATTTATAAAGCCATCCACGTTTAATACACCATTAACTTCAGATACACCAACAACAGCTAAGACAATATCTAAGCAAACCATTTTACCCAAAACTACAATATCAGCGAAACGTTCTACAACAAGTCCCTTTAAAAAAACATTTACTAATGGTCTCGCAACTAATCACCTTTGGTTCTCGCTTAGAACTCCTGAATCTAATATAACGTCTATTCCACCTTCCACATGTTATTTAAATTCCAAAACACCAGTTATCGTTGAATGTCAGGTGCGTGCACGCATTCCGACTTCTAGAGGTGAATTTTTCCTTCATCTCTATAGGAATAATAGAGATAATAAAGAACATTTAGCTATAGTCTATGGTAATGATATTAGAAGTAAGAGTTTAGACGCTCCTCGTCCAGGGGAAAGTGAAATGGATAGAATTGTAAGAGGCGCAACGTTAAAATCTGGTCAAACACATTTGGAAGATTCGCGCAGAACATCTCCTTTAGTTAGAATTCATTCCGAATGTTATACCGGGGAAACTATTCATAGCGCAAGGTGTGATTGTGGTGAACAATTGGACGAAGCTTTGCGACTGATTCAATCTGAGGGACGTGGTGTCGTGATATACCTTAGACAAGAAGGCAGGGGAATTGGTCTAGAAGATAAACTTAGGTGGCTTTTCTTTTTAATAGATAATTTGAATCTATTAATTACATCTTGTACTATTTATTAACATCGTATCATCTTATTCTATTATTTGATCAGAGCATATAATTTACAGGATTTGGGCCATGATACTGTGACAGCAAACATTCTTTTACACCATCCACCTGATCTTCGTACTTATGATATTGCAACTCAAATTCTCGCTGATCTCAACTTATATAACATTCGAATGCTTACCAATAACCCTGACAAGATCGAGCAGATCGAGAATGGCGGCATTAAAGTGATTGAACGCGTACCTATGATTCCTTCAGCATGGAAGGATAAACATAATCCTGATCGTATTAACAATGAAGTAGATAAATATCTTAAAGTAAAAGTAGAAAAGATGAGACATTTATTAAATATACCAGAGACTTTATTAAACTAACATAATTATAAATCTTCGTATTTATTTTATAAAAAACTTTTCTAGGAGACTAATCCTAAACTAATAGAGATGATGATGCATAGATGTAATAATGTAAATCTTTTTCTAGGTCTTATAAATTCTACCTTGAATATAAAATTAAACTCTGACTATATTAATTCCGGTATATTTCATGTATGTTATGATTTAATATGTTGTATAAAGTTGTAATAAATAAAAAATATAAATTTCTTTAATGTATTTTATGTAATATTTTTTACAGTTAATATTAAATCAGTTTGTTTTAATTATTTTATTATATTTAAATTATATATCATTGTTAATCTATATAGAAATGAGATTTATATTGTTTTTTTCAAATATGCTAAGATTATTGAAATTGAAATTTATTTTTTAAATGCTTGAATATAATATTTTTTAATCTGTTGTTTGATTTCTTAAGATTGTATCATAATATATTTGATAAGAATCTGAATATAATTTGAGTTTACATATAGTTTTCTGTTTTTAATGTCGATTTTGACTAATAATTTGAAATTGTTCATAAAAAAAAAAAATTTTTTTTTGAATTTTTTTATATACATTTGTTTTCTTATATACAGTCCCCCCCAATAAATAAAGGATCACTTAAGAATTATTATAATTAAACAGAAATAGTTGTCATATATTAAACTTTTTATTTTATTAATAAAAAC